GTCGATGATGAAAGCAAACCTGAAAGGCGTCCCACAAAACACATGCCCACTCCAGCTCAATGGACTAATGCATTTAATCCTGCATTTTCGTACTATGTCTACTATTGTTATGCTAACCTCTATGTGTTAAATAAGGTACCAATCTTCCTAATCTCTTCTTTAACTAAATTGGTGTTGTCATAACTGTGGTGTAATATGGAGTAACTATTTTTGTTCAGCTTCGGGAGTCAAAGGGCATGACTACGATCAAGCTACGGCCACATTCTGGGGAGGTATTTTATTTCTTCCTTTTTGCTATATAGATTTTCATTTCTAGTTCAATGGATATTTAAGATGACTACAAATATCAGGCTGGTGACATTGACCACTTAGCTGCTACATTTCTCACATGCCATAGCATTGCACATGGAATCAATCTGCGGAAGTCTCCTGTGCTTCAGTATCTTTACTACCTCGCCCAGGTTTGCGGAGATTGCGTGCTTGTATTACATGTGTATTATTGTTTCTGTTCTAAGAATATCTGAGTGAACATTTATTCTCTTTCTTTTGACAGATTGGTCTGGCCATGTCTCCACTGAGCAACAACTCTTTGTTTCTAGATTACCACAGAAACCCGTTCCCTGTGTTTTTCTTAAGAGGTCTAAATGTTTCCCTGTCTACGGATGATCCCCTTCAGATTCACTTAACTAAAGAACCTCTCGTAGAAGAGTACAGCATAGCTGCCTCGGTAAGTCATGATGTTTCCATTATGCAGTCATGTAACACATCATAGACCATGAAAGTTAATTTATATTTAAATAAGTCTTATTACCTTTGGATGATTTATATGCATCTTTTATGATTGCAAATACCAAGGAACAGTGGAACTTATCTTTATTCATCTGTTTCTGCTAGGCTTCAGTTTTAGTAATGCATTATTAAATAAAGATAATAATACTGTAACTGGATTTTCAGGTTTGGAAGCTAAGTGCATGTGACCTGTGCGAGATAGCTCGTAACTCAGTGTACCAGTCAGGTTTCTCACATGCCCTGAAGGTACTTGTTATATCAAACATAGCCTCAAGTAAAAATGAACAAAGATGTTTCGGTTCTGTTCTGCTGCTAATACCTAATTCTTTGACATGGTTTAGTCGCACTGGATTGGGAAAGACTACTACAAAAGAGGACCCGATGGAAACGACATTCACAAAACAAATGTGCCTCACATAAGGGTGGAGTTCCGGGACACGGTAGGTGACGAGAGATATATATCTTTACGCAGGTTAATCCCTTTTTTTTTTATAGAAAAACAAACTGATTTTTGAATTGCATGCAGATCTGGAAAGAGGAGATGCAACAGGTTTATCTGGGCAAGGCTGATATCTCGGATGAAGTTGTTCCATAAAAAAAACCGCAATCAGAAATGGCAACGCGTACGTACAAGACAATGATCTTTACCACTTCTGTTGCCACATTTTCGTATGATGTCTCTAGCCTCTCTCAGGGGGAACTAAGAGGAGGTTCTTCAGAAGTATACGAAGCAGGAAGTAAATAGGGATAATAATGTTGAGTTGGGTATGTTTGTGCCCTGAAGAAGGCGATTTGGCTGTTCAAATCCTGTTGTTCGAAAGCTTCCATAAATCTTCTCTGTCTTTGATCTATCTAGAGTTTTACTTTAAAGACACCAAATATTATGCTTCCCCATTTCATAATAAGTGTAGTTTTATGACATTACTTTTGTTTCACAAAGAATGATGCATATGGCGTGAAGCTAAATTCATTCCATTCTTGTTTACTACTGATAATGGGGTTGATAAAAAAGTAAACTTACAAAATTAAAAGAAAAAATAAATAGCATTTTGGTATGTTTGCAAATTTCTTAATTTGTGAAATGAGTCAAAATATTAAAATTGACACATTTTTGTTTGTTAAAGGGAAGAAATATTTTATCTAAATTCAAAAAGTAATCTATTATATATTTAAAAACAACTCA